TTAATTTAAAATTAATTATAATAATTATTATTATTATTATTAATAATAATAAAAAATGTATAATAATAATAATTTCATTATTATTATTATATGAAAATAAGGCCATAGTAAAAAAAAATATATCATATAAAAAAACTAAGCACTTTTCCCACAATTTTCATTACCATACTGCATTTGGACAATTTTATTTGTAAATTATTTTATTTGCCATTATTCTCAATGGTGATTCTCATTATTGTAATACAAAATTATTGTAAAAATTTAATTTTAAATAAATCAACAAAGTACAACAAATGCTACATGATATTTAAATATTTAAATATTTTACAATTATATTAAAAATAATAATAATAATAAATAAAAAAAATATATATATATATACATATACATATACATACACACACACATATATGTAGGGTAAAGTGGGGGAAAACGCCCCCTTTAAGGACTGCGTAATTTTTTGTCTGTGAAACAAAAGTTAAATGTGTCCAGAATGGCTAACATAGTTTTGGTTACAATGACAATCCAAGTTTTAGTTACAATCCAAGTACGAAAAATGTCCAGAGTTTTCATCTTATTAGATTTTTTCCAAAAATTGTATTTGTAGCAAGGGGGCTTTTGGGTAAAATGCCCCCCAGTCTGACAAAGCAATTTGATTTAAACATTCACAACAAAATCAGAGTACAGGCAGTTTTAGCTTAAAATTAAAAAGAATATAATCAATGATTATGAATTACAAAATTATAATAGCCTATTTTAAAAACATTGTTAGTTGATGCTAACTGGCTAGCTAACTAGCTACCTGATGCTAACTAGAGATAATTTTTGAATATAAAGTCCAAATATTTTTATTCAACTAACTAGTTAGAATACATTTGATGGAAAAACAAAGGATTTGATGTTCAGGACAGAGTAACTACAGTAATTAATGCCCCCTGGGGGCATGTCATTCTGGAAATATAATAAATTTTTCTTAAAGGACACAAACTCCCTATCTACAGGCCTTACTATTCTCATATCATATATAACTGTGATGTTCTACAAAACAACAAGCTTTAAAACACTTTTTTCTTACTGCTGAAAATTAGGTCACTTACTGTGAAATCTGTTTTCTCTCAGGTTCATGTTGAATACTTCGACATCACTCTTGTCAATGTAGTCCATAGTTACAAATACATTTATCTTGACTATATCTAGTGGTTATTTTGGGGAAAACAGTAGAGGGTGTTTTACCCACTCTACCCCTATATATATACAGGGGTGTGAAAAAGTGTTGGCCCCCTTCCTGATTTCTTATTTTTTTGCATGTTTGTCACACTTTAATGTTTCAGATCATCAAACAAATTTAAATATTACACAAAGATAATGCAAGTAAATGCAAAATGCAGTTTTTAAATGATGATTTCATTTATTAAGGGTAAAAAGCTGTCCAAACCTACGTGGCCCTACGTGAAAAATTAATTGCCCCCTCTTGTTAAATCATGAAAGAACTGCAATTAACCACATTATTTTAGAAAGCTGAGTTAAATTTCACTAGCCACACCCAGGCCTGATTACTGCCAGACCTGTTGAATCAAGAAATCACTTAAATAGAACCTGTCTGACAAAGTGAAGCATGCTTAAATAGCAACACATCATGCTAAAGAAACATCTAAAGAAATTCAACAGATGAGAATCAAAACAGTTGATATGTATCAGTCTGGAAAGGATTATAAAGCCATTTATAA